CCAATTATTGATAATCAGAGCAGCTGCATTTAATAAGTATCATTAAAGATTCCACACCTGCATAAACTTCTTAATCTTTCTTCCCTTTTAATCCTTAAGACCACCTTGTGAGGTAGGTACTAACAATATGCCTATTTTACAGATGAAGAGGGAAACTGAGGAAATGACTTGCCCAAAGTCCCACAGTGGGAAAACCAGAGATCAGACCTAGGTTTGACTGCAAAGGCTGTGCGCTTAACTCCCTGGGCCACCCCGCAACCTAAAAGCAACCAATGGTACCTAGGATGTGTGGCAACTGGGTCGCTGATTTGCCGTCATTAGAGAAGATAAAGGAGAAAATAAAGATTTTGCTTTCATTGACATTCAAATATGGAAAGGAAATAAATGTCATAAAACAATTCAGATAAAATAAAATAAGGATGGTTAATGTTAGAAATGCCAAGTTCATGCTTTCTCTTAGTACTTCACTCCTTGATTTTCAAACAAAGCTTTCGTGGTCCCCAGCCCCTGTTTTAGGGGCTGCTCTCCAACCTGGGGGTGATCACAGCAGTAGTCAGCCTATTCTTTCACTTCAGGAGGCCACAAATTCCCTCTGGTAAAATTCACAGTACCACCCAATAAGCTTTACCCCTAATAAAGGAAATTAAGCATTGAGATAACACCAATAGATGGCAATGTTGCTCAGTTTTGCAGAATTATGACCCAGGACTCCTTCCATTAAGTTTCTTTTATCATACCAGCGAAATGCTAACTGAAGGACCAGGCAATTCAGCCACCAACTTGGCACCAACTCTGCTTCCCAGAAGAGTTCTCCCTGGTACCCCCCCACAACGTGCCTCTTCATCTCATCCCCTGGTGCGGCCCTGGGCACACGTCTAGTCCTCACCAACACTCACACAATGACCGACCGCTCTTCACAGCAAGGTCATAAAGTTTGCCTCAGTGTTATTGACTTGAAAGTCTAAAATGATCCACCCAAGGTCATAAAGTTTGCGTCAGTGTTACTGACTTGAAAGTCTAAAATGATCCACCCAAAGGCATCTTCCCAAAGCCTTGAGAGCATTCATGAATTACGCCTATTACCAGGAAAACCCGATAAACATTATTTAAACACACATACACACACATACACACACACAGGCTGTATCTGGCTTGCTTTGTAGAGGTGCTTACTACAACTCTCTCCATCTCCAGAGCTCTCTTTACTTTACCTCAAACTCTTCTTCTGGCACCTCCTTCTCCACTGTGTCACCTACCAGGGCATAAAAATTGGCTATGCATCTCCTAGTGAAAACAATTATGGCAGTGCTTACACTTTTGGTTTCTCCGAAAGGGAAAAAAGTATACCCGAGATGTGCTAGACCCTTTCATAGGTCATTTCATTTAGTTTGCAAAACACACTCAGCAGGTAGTGATTATCCCCATTTCACAGGTGAGCAAATAAGGATCAGAGGCAAGACTCCCAAGGTCACCAGTTTCCCTAGTGTAGACTTGGAATTTGGACCCAGGTTTTTCTGATTCCACTTTTTCTACTTTATCAGAATGTGACATTTAAAAGTTAGGAAGAGGGGGCGCCTAGGTGGCGGAGTCAGTTAAGCATCTGACTCTTGATTTTGGCTCAGGTCATGATCTCAGGGTCCTCTGATCGAGCCCCGTGTCAGGCTCTGTGCTCAGCAGGGAGTCTGCTTGAGATTCTCTCTCAACAACCCCCGCTCTCTCTAAAATAAATAAATAAATAAATCTTTAAAAAATAAAAGTTAGGAAGAAGACTATTTACCTGTGTAATATTATTTCTGAAAATGTAAAGATTCTAAAAAATCTTAAATGCAACCTTTCACTTCAACAGTGAATTACTTTGAAATAAAAAATACTACTTCTTAGTTTTAACAGTTTCACAGATGTGTTTTCATATTATGTATTCTTAAGTCATCCCTGTATTTCACAAAATGGCAGAAAGACTAAGTTTTTTCAGCTTCTATATAAGAAAGCAAAGATTTAAGATAAATTGGGAGGTTTATTTTTATTTTTCAAAGATTTGATTTATTTGTTTTCGAGAGAGACACACACACACAGTGAGAGCAAGAATGGGGCGAGGGGCAGAAACTCAAGCAGACTCCCTGCTAAGTGCAGAGCCCAACACGGGGCTCGACCCCATGACCCATGAGATCACAACCTGAGCTGAAATCAAGAGTCGGACGCTTAACCGACTAAGCCACCCAGGTGCCCCAAATTGAGGGGTTTAAATATCTCTCAATTTTAGAAATGGAGCTCAGTTTTAAGGAAGTTAACATCCATGGTTTAATTACTGGAGTCTGTAATCAGATTTTTAAAAATTCAATTCAGTTGGTAAAATCGTAAATGGAAGGTGGGTGGTGGGGAGAAGACACCTCATTTCTTTTTAACCCATGTACTCCCCAACAAAGGGAAAACTAAGTTAAAAATCACATTCAAGTAAGTAGTAACTTAAAAAACAACAAAAATGCTTTAACAATAAGGGTAAAAAAAGGCAAAATTTTATTCCACAAAGAACAGTGCCTTTTCAGACTTGTAGACTATGTTCAAAAAGGAAGAGAAACCTAACCAACTCCACCCTGGCAAACCTGCCTAAAACCATGCCCCATTCATGTTGGTTTAATCCCTGCCAAGCATAATGTTATGAACTAATTACTTTCTAGAACTGAATCTCCTTACAGGAGAACTTAGGACTTAGGGGCACAGACGTCACTGCTTCCCCTCAGTTTGGGAATGGAGCCAGAAAATGTCAGCCTCTAGAATGGAAGCTAAGAGAATCATCATAAAGTAATCAACTGCACAAAGAACTGCTTTAACAGATGGTAGGTACGGTGGTTCTTATGACACGGTGCTTCCTCTCGCCCCCCAAAACGAATCCACGTGGCTGGAAGTGACTGGAAGTCATCTGTGCTGTATTTCTGATTTCACATGCTTTTCTAGGCTGGTGTCACTTCAGCTGTGGAGATCTTGTAAAGGCACTAAACCCAGGACCGAGAGCTCTCGGGTCAATTCCTCTACTTGCACTTTGTGGTGGTGGGGTGTGGTGGCCACCTGAGACTCAAACCTTCATCCTAGGGAGGGTCCCCCCATTTGAACTCAAAAGTCTGTTGTGGGAGAAGCAAGAACACAGGTGTCTGCCCCATCTTAACCCCCACTATCTGAATATTTGCTGTAACAATTTTGCAAAAAAATGGTATACCATATTGGCTATCCAAAAATACATAAATAAACAAATAAATAAAAAAATAATGAGTCTGTGAGTCTGCAGCAAAATCACTCAAGTAGTGTCTGGAGCACACAGCATGTGCTGGTCTTAGCTGACTGACTGCCCAATGCTTGTGCTGTTTAGATGTGTGGTGGATGGTCACATCATTTCCTCCGCTTTATTAAGTAAAAATGTCTGCTATGGAAGTGGAAAAACCTACGAAGAAAGTAGGTGAGTTTAAAAGACCTAGGAAATCCCCTTTCTTAGAAGAAGAAGAAGAAAAAAAAGTGATAAGGTATTGAGAAAGGTGATCCTATAAAAGAATCTTGGCCAAACACGTGTTCCCCCTTTGTGTATGGTTTTTTGCACTGGGTGACAAAATAGAACTTGCAAAAAGTGTTGGTTCCACAAAGTTTCATGGTGTTCTTGCGTGTGGCATGCTACACTTATAAAGCCAGTGAAATTCTTTTTTTTTTTAAGCCAGTGAAATTCTTGTATGGAGGGTGCACGGCCGGTCAGCGCGATGCCACTGAGCACATGTGGCTACAGTGGGCAGCTTAGATGCCTTGGGAGAGCTGGAGAGTAATGGAGCATAGGGAGGATTTGGTGAAGAATTCCTTTTAAAGCAAGACTGGAAGGTTTGAGATTTAAGAACCACGTAAACACACCTTGAAGAGGGGTGATGCAACTTCTGTTCTCAGTGAGGCGGCAGCATCCCCCCCAGTGAACCAGAGCCACTCCTGAAGGTGTTTTTATCACAGAGCAAATTTCCAATCTTGCTGAACCTAAGCTTTTTTTTTTTTTAAAGAAAATATGCCATCTGTTACATCTATTTCAGAAGATAAGAAAAAAGTTCCAGGACATAATGCATCTAAAGATAAACTAATCCTGCTTTTAGCTGGTAACTGTAAACCAAAACCTTTGCTGGTACATCATTCCAGAACCCCAGGGCCCTTGGGTAATGCTCAAGAGTGCACGGCCTGCTACATGACGTTCAGACTGTGTACGTGAAGAAGGAATATCTTTCCTACAAGGCTTGTCTAAAGATGATGCTTTTGGACATCCTTCCAGAGCTTTCAGTTAGAAATAATACCTGTGCAGTCTTGTGGGTAGCTGTTACATGAAGGGAGTCCCCAAAACGTTGAAGGCACATTAGCTGATGATAAGATATGTGATGTGGAGTGCTCACAGGAGGATAGTACTTTGATGAAGGAGTCACAGAAGAGTTTTTGCCAGAAAAGCACATGATGCACTGATCAGGCTTGGAGAGAAATGTCACCACCAATGACAAATGAAATAGGGAAAAATAGGGCTCCAGAAATTTTTGCTGACTTTCAGGGTTTTGAGAAAGTGACGCTTCAAAGCCAAGTCTTTTACTTTGCTAAGGAGCCTGGAGAAAGCAAAGCAGGTAGTAAAAATGTTGAACTATTAGCATCACTAATGAAGAGCAAAAGGACTTAATACTAAGAAGCTCTTTCAAGTTGATGGTCATTATTGGTCTGCGGCGGGGGAAAAAAGAGGACAACCTCCCTCATTTGAATGACAAATCTTTAAAATGTAGACCGTGCAGATATAATGATTCTGTTGTGAGAGAGCAGGATCATGCCGCGAACAGAAGCACCGCGTTAACACACACAACCACAAGCCGAATCTCGGGCTGCCGGGAGCTCCAGGACCATGCGTCAGAGGAATGCACACAGATGCCCGTCTTAGTCATCTCGCAGCTTCTGGCTCTTACCGTCCACTTCTGGGGTGTTGAGTGCTAAGGAGAAGACTGTCTAACCAATTTGAAAAAGGCTTGGTTTATTGTGTTTTGCCAAATGCTAACTGCATTCATTATGTATCTCCATACATTATTTCACTACATTTTTAAATTTTATAACAAGTTCACTGAAGCACGATGCAGTTTTTATCTAATACTGTACAATATTGCTGCATACTATACACAAACATGTCCATCAGTGAGTTCAGTGAGAGTTAGAGATTAGGTTTTAAAGGCTTTATGACTCGGAAATCCTTGACAGATATTAAACGGATTTTTAAACGTTCGAGTAATTGGTTCAAGTTCTTAGATAAGGTGAGACACATTATTTGTTCCATTTAACATAACGGAATACAGGGTCTTAAAATCCCCAAATCTCCTCTCCGGCACTCTTTCAGGAACAGACTGGAGGTGAGTAACAAGAGACGCATGTGTACACAAGCCTTTGGGAAACAGTACTGTACCACATAAATGTAAACTACTGTCATTTTCAGGTAAAATCAGAGAGTAACAGAATTTCCCTGTTGCTGGAAGAGTCCTCTTGGGACTCATCTAGTCCGACCTGTTTACTGAATGGATGAGGACACAGGCCCACAGAAGAGAAGCTCAGCATCAGTTGGGAGTCAGTGAATGACCCAAGGACAGAATCTGAAGGCCAGCACAGAGCTCTTTTTTCTCCCCTGTGTAATTTTATTTTGTAAAATACTAACAGCTTTTTGGTGCTGGGACTGCTATGCCCTTTAAAACTTTTCAATTAATGGGCGGTTATAATAAGAGGACTCTTTACCTCCACTGAACTCGGCTTACTGTAGGAGACTCAATAGTATTTGTTGGTAAATCAGAATTCTGAGGTTGAATTGTTAAAGTTCGTCTTGGTCACTCCTCTCTCGTGAAGAAACCCAACGGCTTAGAATCACCTCCTGTAGCCAATAAAAATAAAAAGGTGACTAAGAATTTCAAACACGGAAATGAAAGAACATGCTAGGTGTGTGAGATCAAAGCAACATTTCACAAAGAACAGTCTATATAATGAGGACACCTGTTCCCATTCCTTGTCACTGAAACACCTGGGGGAAAGGTGAAGGCAGCACTACACACCTATCACAGTCACACCAAGATCTTAAAAGCTAAACTTGCCTTGGCAGTTGTATTCCACTAGCACATTTCAGGAACAAGAGTGCCAGGACGAGAGCTAGCATTTCACATTAGAACCAGCTCTGAGATGGCGCTGGCATACCAAGTGGGTCTGGGCTGGCATTCGATGAGCAGCTGACCGAGGGGGCACGAGCTGGGCAGACTGCATGGAGGAGGCGCGGGGGCCGGGGAGGCTGCGGTGGGACAGAGCAGTGTGAAAAAGGAGGAAGGGTGCAACCTCAGAGACAAAGGAAACTGACCATGTGCTGGATGTGGGGGAGGAGCCCCAGACGGGGCGAGGGGCAGAAATAGTAACTAATACTGGGTGACAGGATGGCAGCCCTGCCAGAGAAACACCCGCCAGGAAGACTCGGAAGCCAGAACCCCAGAAGCCGGACAAGAAGTTCAAGGCTGGAGTGAGTTAGCAGCGCCACTTTAATTTCTGGGAATGAGACCTGGGAGAGGCCTGGTCAGGAGTTCCCAGGCCATCTGTGACAGCAGGGTCAGCTGCATGGTGGAGACGGAAGCCAGATGACATGGCAGATAAAGCGGCAGCAGGAATTACGGGGAAGTGGGAGTGGGCTCAGCAGGGAGCGGGCCTGAGGGGGCTTCCTGTTATCAAGGCAAGATGGTTTTCATTTCTTTTCTTGGGACCCCATGTTCCAGAGGACACAGTATGGTAGACAGAATCTTTGGGATACCATGAGTTTGTCTCTGAGTTTACCTACCTGAACTTTAATTCGTTTCATACATTCTGGGGACTCCATCTCTTTGTCAGTCATGGTAGAGGGTTTAATCAAATAGCATAGCATCAGTTCCTATTGAGAAATGAAGAAAAACATCCACATCCCACACAATAATAATATAAATTTGGGTGCAGGAAATGCAGGCAGGCTCCATTCCCTCCCACACTGTGCTCTTGGAAACTTACAAAGCACACTGGTTTCCTTCTAGGAACGTGACTGGGCCCGGGATCTAGACTAAGGACCTGCCATTTAGTCACTGTTGACATGGCAAGAGAATGCAAATAAAGCAAGTATGTGGATTATAAACACAGCATTTAAAATATTAAATATATGCTACAAGTCCCATAAAATGGGTATAAAAATACTAGAAACAGTATAGACTCCCTATTTCTAAAAGACAAAGCTACTTTTTATAGGCCACGCGTAAGGACCTTAACCCATACTCAAGGCACTTGCCACCTGGCCTCTGCTGGACCTTTTGCGCTCTCCTCCCCCCACTGCGCCTCCAGCAGCACTGGGACAGAGTCAGAGGGGGTTCACAATCTGTGTCCAGTTAGCAAACTATTGAATAACAGAGAACACACAAAGCTTTCATCCTTAGTAGTGCTGGTGTAAGATGAAACTTCCCTCCTATCTTGATGGCAGCAAAATCCAGCAGAACATAAGCCAGGAAGGCAGATGACTCTGGGTTTGAATCCCAAGTCTGCATATAAGTTGCATGATCTTGGCTTTGCCACTCAACATCTGACTCTGATTGATTCCTCACCCTTAGGGATGAGAATAACAACAGGGTGGTGAGAGAAAACATGTACAGTGCTTAGCCATAAAGATTAATATCCTTCCTCTCTCCTCAAGAGATCTGCTAGCTCTGAAAAGAAATTTATCCATGCTTTGACTCCCTTGTGAATATGTGTGAGTGAAGGAAGGCAAGGCCCACCTACATCAATCATTGCAGGAAACTTTGGAGCTCAGCACCAGTGTGGGTGATGGCAGGGAATGCGAGAGGAGGTCAGCTTCTAGCCCCATCTTTTAGAACCTTGCTGGCAGGTGTGAAGTTCCTACAGATGACTTTCAGGGTTCCATTACATTTACGAAAAAAAAAATCCAACCATTTTAAGTGACACGTGAATGCCAAAGCTGATGCTGTTACCTTGGAGACATTAACCGAAACTCTGCTCAAGGCAGCCAGTGACCTCCAACTGAAAGGTCTGCGAAGAGAGCCCTCAAAATGGTCATCGACCAACTCAATAATGACAGAGTAACTGGAAGACAGATAGAGGGCATTGTAAAAATAAAAGGCATGAAATCAACCTCTTTAAAAAGAGTAACGCTTGTTCTACCAAGAACAGAGATACAGAAAATAATATATACATCATCTAATCCTAAATGCCCCTGCAACATTACTGGAAAAGTATTAATGAAAAACACTTACTTTACATTACAAACTTTCAGGCTCATCTCAACACTGACAAGGAGAGAACAAAAATATTTCTCCCAATAAGAAAGCCATGAATTCACTCAACTGTTTAGATGCTAACACTCACTGATATTACGATGAACAATTCCTGCATAGATTAACTCAGTATGTAACACTACAACGTTTCCCATAACCTATTTATTATTTTACATATAGTACAACAATGTTAGTGTATAAGGCACAGATTTAGAGTATCTATTCCTAATAGGTCAAGAGAAACATGATTGTAATAGTTTCTGTGGCACTGAAAATTACACTGGAGGTCAGAAATTTCCTTCCTGTCCCTTTAAGCCATTAACTTATTTAAAAATCACTCCAAACCTTGCATGGTAAAATGGAGGGCCTTTTCGATACAACACTGCAAAGAAAAAGAAAGAAAATGTATAACCACTTGAAATCAAAATCCTTATTACTGACATTTTCTCTTCTCCAAAGAGACATAAATACCCAATTATCTGTATATGGGTAATCTGCAATATGCCCTGTGGTCTATTTTTAAAACCCAAACTGTTTTCTTCCCTCAGAACAAAATGCAATTAGTAAAGCAAATCTGTGGCCAAGATCCTAACAATCTTATCTCACCCTCACCCCACAAATGAAATCCAAATTCAAATACAAGTGATTTTGGTCTTGCCTTTTGTCTTATACTCTTCCAGAGTGAGAATGTGAAATTATGTCAAACATGTGAAGTGTATATAATGTGGACTGGTATTTTGTTATTAATTTCAAATCAAAGTAATTCAAAATGTCTGAGGTACTCTGGCCAGGTACAAGCTTACTTGAGTCTTGGTGCTAGAGATGAGTAAGAATCATCACTATTTTTAAGAAATTCAGTCAGGTTGGGGGAATAGTCACATAACCATACAGGCCATTTGGAGATCAGTCTGCCCTACTCATTCAATCTGTGGAGGTCAAAAGCCAGTGCCCACAAGAGCCTGGGGCAAGGACTCTGCCCCGTGGACTCTGGAACTGCACAGGCAACCCTTCAGAGGCACAACGTCTGTGACAGGGAGGGGCTGTTTATCAAACTCATTCCCTCTCTTTCTAGGCACATGGCTAGATCATGTCTCTTAGTCTCCCAAGCAGCCAGGCTGGCCCATAAAACCCTGCCATGTACCAAGCCTGTACTTATTCCTTTTTGAAGATGACCTTGAAAGCCATGTGGTGAAGACCATGGAGACACAAGGAAGAAGCCTGGGCTCCTGAAGCACCTTTGGGAGTTGATCTGCTCACCATTCAGAGACACCAGTTTTTGGATTTCACATGAAAAATTAACTTCTGTTGTTAAGCTTCTGAGATGTGGGGTTTATAGTAACTACAGGTATAAGAAATACCTTTACTAATATACAATTACATCTGTAAGCTTGTGGCTGTCCCCAGTGTAAAATCAAAAATGCAGAGAAGCTTTTTATCCTTTGAGGAATTGATAGAATTTTCCTTTTTGGCCATACCAGTACTGTAGCTAATTTCCCTTAGGCTCAGCAAGCTCAGAGCCAACTTGAGAGCGTGAGTAGTAACCCTGTAGGCTCATGGACAAGACAGCAACCCTTCACCCAGACTACATTTTCTAGGGTCATGTTTCCTTTTTATTATTATATTTCCTACTGAAATTATATTTAAAGGATTTGGCAAGTCAGCTCAAATTCACTGTGTAAGGGTACAAATTTAAGTAAATGCCCCAACATACAATCCTCAACTTTTTGAGATGTGGTGTAGTGGAAGGAAACCGTGTACTGGAATGAACTTGAATTCAGGAGTTTTGTTTCCTGCCCGGTTCTGCCACTCATGGTTGTGTGACTTCAAGCAAGTTACTAACACCTCTGAGCCTCAGTTTCCAAAATTAGAAAATGAGGAACAAGGGGAAATTGAGATCTTTTCTAGCATTCAAATACTATTATTTATGACCAGGCACACATCTCTAACGTGCATCTGGAACCCTGGAACATTACACAGCTGGAAAGCAGGGGTCGTTTCAGATGACTGATGATGGTGGTGTAGCGTTAGAAGGTAAAAGCATGAACACTGGCATGAGACAGACCCAAGTCAAGTCTTACCAGTGTCAAGACCACATGACGACGCCTTGTGTTTCAATCTCCTTATTATGAAATCTGGGGGTAGTAAGTGAAGGTAGAGGTGTTGGCACAGTGGCTGGCATAAAGTGAGGGTTCAAAATGTTACCCAGAATAATAATCATAATGATGATAGTGTATTCAGAGGGAAAAATAAAATCATTTTACAAAAATGCCTCTCAAGCAGAAAGATGAAAACTTCCGAAGTCTAAGAAATCCTGGGCATTCAAAAATAAAGTCTGAAAGAACAGGGAAAAGAGAAAGCTCCTTCTTATAAATGAAAGCCGCACATGGCATGTGGAAGGAATGACAGAATTAGAAAATGATTAGGGCAGTAATTAATTTGGGCAACTGTTACAATTATTGGGGACACATATGCACAGTCTCATCCTACATATTACCTGTTAATTACAAAAGGAAATATGCAATTTTACAACAGACATCTGATAATGGCCACTTTAGCCAAGTAATCAAACTTAGTATCATCAACAGTGGGACAGCGTGACATTAAGTACCCCCTGATGGGGCATAATACACATAACACCTATGCATGCCAAAGAATGTGAACTGGAGTCTAATCATGAGGAAACAAATGTGGGATATCCTCTAGGACTCTTCAAAAAATTCAATGTCATGAAAAACAAACAAGGTAGAGAAACTGTTACAGATTAAAAAAAAAGCCAAAGAGGCTGTGGTGGGGTGAATGGTAGCCCCCAAAAGATACATCCACAGAATCTGTGAAGGTGGCCTTCTTTGGAAAAGGCTCTTTGCAGAGACTGGAGTGATGTAACCATAATCCAAGGGACGCCCGGTGCCACCAGCAGCTGAAGAGGCGAGGGATTGACGTCCCTACCACCCAGCAGACTTCCAGCCTCCACAGCTGTGAGAGAATGAATTTCTGTTGTTTTAAGCTCCCCCCACCCGCCCCAGATTGTGGTAATTTCTCATGGCAGCCCTAGCAAAATAAAAGAGAAACCTACAACACCAGATGTGATACATGAACAGTGACTAGAGCCTGTATTAAAACAAAAACAGCAAAACCCCCATAGCTGCAAAAGACATTTTGGGGATAACAGAGGAATTTAAATTTTCTGGTATTTTGATGATATTCAAAGTTCTGATTTCTCCCACGTATTGCATGGTATTATACTTACATAGGAGAATGTCCCTATTCTTATGAGTTGCACACAGAAATACCATGGATCATGTGTGCAGATGTGGAAAATGTTAACGAAAATAAAAGGTTTGACTGGAAAAATAAGCCAAGAGAGTGGTTTAGGAAAGAACCAAGACATGAGAAGAAGGCATAGCTCTTTGTTTGTGATGAGTACAGAGGAGCTGCTCTGATGCCCCTCCCTGGAGCAGAACCAGTCATCAGCCTCTGAGCTGGGCGCCATGACTAGGGAGTGTTCCTTTGGGCTCTGGGAACCTTGTATGCTGCTGGCTTCTAATGGTTCCCATCACTCCACCTGTCTTGCGACTTGTAATTCACAGGCTGCTGTGAAATTACATGACCAAACTCAGTCAATGCGAATCCAAAATTGGAGTGCGTGGGAGGGAGGCTTAGGAGTGACTACATCTTAAGTCACATCAACCAGTAGCTGCACGTGTCGGAAAAAAATAGACACGTGGAGCTGGTTTTCAGCTTTCTGGCTGGCAACAGCAGTTTAGTGTGGTGGAAGTACAAGGAGCTTGGACCCAGACAGGGCAAATTTCCGCACTTACTTGTCGTGGGACCCTCGGCAACTTCCTTGACCCTTCTAAACCATAATTTCCTCAGCGTCTTATAAAAGGAGGCGAACGCCACATGCTCACAGGAGTATTAAGATGAAATAAGACGAGGGAAGAAACACCAAGGCAAGGTGCCAGGTCACCGTGAGAGCCAGCAGCTGCAGGAGCTTTTGGATGGGGAATGTAAGAAAAGGCTCCCACTTGGGTTTCTAATCTGGTTTTCACCAGTGGGTGATCAAAGTCAAGTAGCTCAGCAGTTGCACTCAATTTGAGATCCATATCATTTGTTCTGAGTACGGCTCCTGGAATGAAAAGTGACTGACAAGATTTATTCAAGGGGAAGAGTTTTCCTGATAAGATGTGAATTCCATAATGGCCCTTTGTCCTGGGTCATTACCTCTATACGCAGAAACAATAGTTAAGAGGGGATGTCCTGGGCTTAACCTGTGCTGACAGTTCTAGGGTATGTGTGATTTAGTCACTGAACCTCAAAATTAAAATAATATTATTGTTAAAAAACAGCAGGCACCAAGCAGCTGTGCCTAGAGAAGAGGAAAAGCTTAGAAAGCTGTTCCTCTTTTTTTTTTTTTTTATTTTAAAGATTTTATTTTTAAGTAATCTCTACACCCAACGTGGGGTTTCAACTTACAACCTCGAGATCAAGAGTTGCATGCTCCACTGGCTGAGCCAGCCAGGCGCCCCAGGACGCTCGCTGTTCCTCTTACCCCGGTCTAGCACTGCTTGTGAACTCCTGCTAAAGCAGGAAATGTGAAGACACCCCTCATGTTGCTGCTGGGCCAGAGACCTGGTCTCACATTAATTATACAAGCAGCTCGAAGTACATGATATGACCCAGCTGTGGCAAAGGCCTCCAGGGAGCTGGGAAATAACAGTTGTTTTATTTCTTTAAAAAAATCTGTCTGTCCTTTCAACCATCCCTATAAGGCGGTTTGTTTTAAAAATGACTCCTCATCCACAAATATGGCTTAGCATTGAAAATACATGAGATGTGGTATACTTAGAAGGCACTCAACAAAGGCCCTTTTCCCCTGCAATTTTTATTTTTTGTAAAGAAGATGGTGCTATCCGTGTTATATGATGAGCAAATGGACACTCAGAGAGATGAAGTAACTTGCCTGAGGTCACACAGTAAAGAGGTAGAGCTGGCTGTGAACCCAAAGAGCTCTCTTTACTAGCCCCAGCCACCTCTGGAAGTATCCCTGCAGCCTTGTCGATGGAAAATTCTAACTCAAGTTTCACCCATACAATGAGAAAGCTGAGGAAGACCTGCCAAGCATTTGTACCAAACAGCTATTCTTACAGGAGTATGAAAAGGAGAACAGGGTTGGGAAGCCAATGAAGGAAAATGAAACAGGCACATAACTTATTTAAACATCGTGAACTGTGGCCAACACAGTTATGTGGAAACCTAGCAAGCTAATCTCGAACTAATCCTGATCATTTGTGTGCTAACCCCGAGTTAGCATATCTGTACCTGAAATCCAGGCATGGAAGAAATAAAAGAAACCATTTATCTTAGAGGGTTAGGAAATCCTTAACCTTTATTTTGGACTGCTGACACCCTCCCTCCCCACTTGAGAATTTAACGAAAGCGGTGGACTCTTGACCCAGAAAAACATACCAATCTACAAACAACTATTTTATGCTGGGGTCTCCTGAAGACTATCCTATGATTTCAGGTTAAGCACAATTTTAGAGCATTTAAAGATTTAAAAGATTGAATTGGCTTTGTGTATTAAAAAAAGGCTCAAAGCACATGAAACAAGCATATAACACAGCTCACAAGACCTCAAGGGCCATGACTTCTCAACTAGCTTGATATTTTTGTTTGAGCCCCACAATTCTGAACATCCAGGAAGCACCCTCACTTAGCAGATGTGGAAAATGAGTTTGAGGGACTTAGCAGTGACACAACTACAATCTCCACATCAGAAAAAGAAAAAATAATAAGAGATCCATTGCATAGGATTGCTCTAGGGATGAAGTGAGATAATGAAGTTTAAAATGCCTGACACATAGTAAGTGCTCAACAAAGGACAGCTGGGATTATTACAATAGCATGATTATTCTCATTTGCCAGATGAGACAACTGAGGCCTAGAGGATAAGGGACTGCCCTATATCACATGACCACATGGCTAATGAGAGGAGGGGAGTGGGGGTGTAAAACTCTCTTCTCAGATTACAGAGCAGGTGAGAGGAAAACCTGAACACTTGGGGCTACAGGCTTCTATCTCCAGGCTTTCCACTTAGACTTCCTTTTCACTCTTTCTGGACAAACCCTCCACCCCAACCCAAATATTTTTATCTAAGCCAAAAGGAAGGTATCATCTTAGAAAAAAATCAGCAACAGCATATATTACCAATTCAGTTTTCACCTTGGGATCTGCGGCAAACGCTGGTGTGAGAACCAGCGTTCTACCGAGTCAAGAAGTACTTACGTAAATCTGTCCCATACTTAAGTCCCACTTTGGGCACCCAGCCCTTGCTCCGGAAGTAATGGTATGCCATGTACGTAGTCCTAAATGTGGGCTGAACTACAGTGAAAGCTTTCCAGAGCTTCATGATTGTTAAAGGCTCCTAATGTTGGTGAGAGAAAAAAAGGGCATTATTATGTATGTATTCGCTCTTCATTCAGCCAGTGAACTGACATCTACACCAGGTGTGGCGCCGAAGCAGTCAACACACACAGTGCCCATGACGGAGGGACTTCACAGAGGACCGAGGCCTGTGCTGTCCAGTATGGCAGCACCAGACACCGTCCAGAAGGGAGATGTGCCTCAGGTGGAAAATACACACCGAATTTCAAAGGCTTGGTAGGAAAACGAGAATGATATGTTGAGTTAAAGAAACTCTGTAAATAATACGACTTTTTTCTTTTAACCCCTTCAACGCGCTACCAGAAAATTCAAGACGACGCACGCGGCTCTTGTCTGAGGCTTATATTCACGTCTATGAGGCAGCACTGCTCTGGGGAAGGCCTCCCTGCAACAGCAATGTCTGAGATGAGGAGGAAGCAGCCAAGTGGAAGGGGGCAGCGGGGGGACCAGGGGCGGTGGGGGGTGCTGCACAAGAACACTCCGGGCAGAGGAATGAGCATGTGCCGGCTGCTCGAGTGTGACAAGTCCACCATAGCCGGACGGCAGCACGTTCCAAACATTGCAGTGACCCAGGCGAGTAGCTACTGTATGTCAGGCCACATTCAGAAAAACCAAAACATAATTCTGTAAAAGCTTAAAAAAAAAAAAGATGCCCCATTTAGTCTTGGAAACTAGAGAATTTACCTCACGGCTTAAATGAATAATCTAACTGCTTCAAAGAGAATTTTGTTCCTAACAGAGGATATGAAGACACAGAGAATGGCTTGGTTCAGAGAACCTTCGATTCTCCAGCTGGTTTAGGGCTCAGTCAATGAGACCTGCTCAGTTTGTCTCAGCCTGAGACTTTAAATCCATAAAAATGAGCTAGAGTTTTTTCCTTCTTTTCTTCTTCTTTTTAAAATTGTTCCTAAGGTAGAAATTCCATACATGTGTGGCCTTTAAATCCCAAAGCAAGGATACATTCAGCCCCCCTGTATTAAGCAACAGTCTTGTAGGGAAGGCTGAACTTCCAATATGGAGAGCCCATCATGTTTCAGAGGCTGAGGATTCTAGGTAGTAGTGGAATATTCTCGAGAATTTCAGCTAAGACCCAGGAGGGGAGGCAAGGTGGGCTAAGAATGGCCACCATCTGGGAAAATGAGTCACCCATCAGCTGATAGCTATTTTCAAACCACTGGAATACTCTTGAAAAGAATTTATATAATTAGAATTTGATGAATGATAAAATTATGTACTTCCAAGAACAGAACAAAATATGCTTTCTCTGTTCTATTTATTGTTCTGCTTACCTTTCTCTTTTTAATTCATTTGAATTATTTGGAATAGGTATATTCACATGGTCCAAATTCACAAAGTATAAAAATGTACAGTGAAGTCTCCCTTTCTACCTGTGTGCCCAGTCCTCCAAAGCCTCTACCAGAAGGTAAGCAATGGTATCAGCATCTCGTGGAACTTTCGTCTAAGGGCAGCAGGCTACAGTACAGAATCACAGGCTTTGGAGATACCTTCATATAGTTTCAAGTACTAATTCTAACCAGACTAGCTGTGTGACCTTGGGTGAATTACTTACTTCCTCTGAGCCTCAGTTACCTTATCTGTAGAATTCCTACCAGGCAGAGGCAAGGATGAGAAGTACCGCCTGAAAGGTACCCAACAACACACAGCCTTTACCTAAGTACGCATTGAACACTGGCAGTTTTAATTTTTAGTATTGTTCTGACACCAATTTCCTGATCATCATTTAAGATACTGCTCTTCTCCTAGTCTCTGGGAATGAAGTTCAATCTGAAAGAGTCAAAGCTGGCTTCTGCCTTAATAATCCCAATTCAGGGGGTGCCTGGGTGGCTGAGTTGGTTAAGCATGTCACTCTTGATTTTGGCTCAGGTCATGATCTCAGGGTGGTGAGATCAAGCCCCACATCAGGCTCCACACTCAGCACGGAGTCTGCCTGGGATTCTCTCTCCCCTTTCCCTCTCCCCTCCCCCCCGCTTGCACGTGCTCTCTCTCTCTCTCTCAAATAAGCAAATAAATAAAATCTTAACCCCCCCCCCAAAAAATCCCAATTCAGGGCCCAAAGCCTAACCCTAGAGACAAAATTCAATTCCAATTTTATTCAGTGAAAGTAGGTACATTTGTATTACAGCAATATGAAAATTACTACAGCCTGCTTTTAACACCAGGAAAATTTTAAGTGGATTTTATTTAAATATGACATCTTACCTTCTCATAGTAAATACTCAGACATCCCAGAGCATAGACCAGGAAAAAGGCCTAAAAACAGAGCAAGCAGAAAATGTTCATTAGAAACAGTCCCACATTCTTGAGAAATTATTTTACAGATTGATTTCTCTTTGCCTTAAGTACAAATTAATGTCCTTAAATCATCTTCAAAAAATGGTCACATATTTTTAACATAAATGGTTCATGCAAATTTTAAGGATTAAAAAAAATCTAAGAAAATATGAAAGTCACAAATTGATTAAAAATCATAAAAAACGAAGTATTTGTATGATATTTTCCATGTATTTTCCTCTTTTTTTTTTTTTTTTAAAGATTTTATTTATTTATTTGAGACAGAGAGAATGAGAGACAGAGAGCATGAGAGGGAGGAGGGTCAGAGGGAGAAGCAGACTCCCTGCCGAGCAGGGAGCCCGATGCGGGACTCGATCCCAGGACTCTAGGATCATGACCTGAGCCGAAGGCAGTCGCTTAACCAACTGAGCCACCCAGGCGCCCCCATGTATTTTCCTCTTAAAAACCACATAGCTAAACTGAAAAATGATGTAAATAGTTGTAATAATAGAAATCTTTTCCTCTGTAAAATTAAATAATCATATCAAACTGAGAAAAAAATTTACAGAAAGACATATATAGAAATTTGTGAAAAGTGGGCAGTGTAGATTTGGCTTGCATAACAAAACATGAGTTACAATCCTTGTTGTAAAGTGATCTCCTATTAATCCCTATCTTTCCATGAACTTCATTATACAGTAATGTGTTTTACTTGCATGGGAAGGCAGGAGGAAAAGCAAAGGAAGTCAGTTGTAGTTGAGTAAAATCACACTTAGATGGAAATAAAAATAGCTTTTTTTTTTTTTTAAGATCTTATTTATTTGACAGAGAGAAAGAGCGAGCACAAGCAGGGGGAGAGGCAGAGGGAGAAGCACACTCCCCACTGAGCAGGGAGCCCGATGCGGGGCTCGATCCCAGGACCCTGGGGCCACGACCTGAGCCGAAGGCAGACTCTTAACTGACGGAGCCACCCAGGAGCCCCCAAAGAGCCACCCAGGAGCCCCAAAATAGCTTTTTTTTTTAAAATTTATTTTTTTAGTAATCTCTACACTCAACGTGGGGTTTGAACTCCCAACCCCAAGATCAAGAGTCGTATACTTGACACCAACTGAGCCAGCCAGGCGCCCCAAACTGCTTTCTGATAAAAGTAAGACAATGCCAAACACTGATACCACCAAACAGACCCTGCTGCTCACTCTACTTGTAGAGGGGGATAGGATCCACGTTTACACCTAAACAGACTTATATGCGACACTCGTGTGTCGTAGTGGCTAAATGGTGGTATCAGTAAAACTGGGGTATTTTCTTTATAAACATAAGGACAGAAGATTAGAACCAAACGAAAACCATTCTGCTGCTGCCACCACGTGGCACAGACGAGGGCCCTCTTACATAGTGTGGCGACAGAGATGCGGTCCTCAGCCCTGAGCCTGCACATTTTTGTTCAACAGCATGGTACCGATGACCAGTGCTTACTTAGCTTGCTTCCTCACTGCCCTAGCATGCACAGGAACAAACCACAAGAGGATTTAAGAGAGCACAGGCTATGGAGGTGTAGGGGGTTTCAAGCAGCAACGAGAAATACCTCTGTGATCCCCAGGAATTGCCTGAATCCACCCCGTCATTTTCTCCTGGCTATATCTCATGGCACTTCTCTTTACAGCAGTGGTTCTCCAAGTGTGGTCTGGGGATTTTGGAGACCCCGAGACCCCTTCTGGAGGTCTCCAGGTCAAAACTGTTTCATGGTAATAACACATTATTTGCCTTGTTCCTGCTCATTGTCTCCAGAGGCTCCAAGACATGTGGTATCACAACGGACTGAATACAGAAGCAGATGTGGGCATCCAGCTGACTTCTATAAAGCCAGACCTTAAAGTGACTGGCAGAAGCGAAAAACTGCCATTCTTCTCACTGAATTTGTTCTGTTTTGAAAGAATATAGTTACTTTTCATAAAATTTTATTTATGTTAATATATAATGGATTTATCATCATTATCTTAAAATGAATTAAAGAACAAATATTTAAAATTTTGTTTTAATTTACAACTTGGTCAACAGTGACAGATATAATTCACATAAAGATGTTCCTGGGATCTTCAATAATTTTTAAGAGAGTAAAGTGGCTTGGGAACTACCACTTTAGTTTCACTCAGATCTAAACCTAGAGCTTCTCTGAAGATGCAGGTGACCCCACTTCTCTGGGTCCTAGCCACCACTCCGCGCCTGGACTTCTCAGAGGCCTTTCTGCTCCGTGCATTCTCCACGGCATCCAGAGCCATCTTTTTCCCATGTGAAGACCATGTGGCTCCCACGACTAAAACCCTCCAGAAGGCTTCACAGCACTTTGCTTCCCACTGCCTCCAGTCCCTGCGAAATCTGACCACCACTCTTTCTGGCCATGTTGGCTCCATGTCTGCCCCTGAACACACTAAGCTCTTTCCTGCCTTCATCTTTGTAAGTGCTACTCCAGTATCTGGCACATTCTGCCCCAGACTCAAAAGTCACTTTTTGGAGAGGTCTTCCCCTCCACCCTTGTTAAGCAACCCTCATCCTGATCATCTTCAAAACACTTTTGTCTGAAAACATCTTTCTTACATGTATCTCTCCAACTTGAATGTGAACTCTATGAGAGCAGAAACTCTGCCTGCCACTGCCCTGGCCCGGGAGGGGGTCTAGCACATGGCATCTGCTCAGTGCTTGTGCGGATTAGAATCGACCCTGAGTTTAGGACATTGCCAGAGTCACCGAGAGCAGGTCTCTGCAGGCCTGGCTTGCCAGCTCCTTTCTCCTCAGGTGGATGCTATATGCCCCACAGTCCCTTGCAGCTAGTGGTGACAGCCTTCCCAGGAGTCCTACATTATTATTTTGACCTTTTGTCTTCCTGTGGCACACTACTCACTAATGCAGAGTACCACTGTTTCTCGGATGCACACAGACGGTGGCCAGAAGGTGCCACGGAGGAGACAAACTTGGGTCCTCAAACAGCCAAGTGCTTCCCCTTTCGACATCTCCCAGCTGTCACTTCTTGGTTCTGAACGGGGCGACAGGTAGGATGAACTCTGGGATGTGGCAGAGCTGGGCTGAAATCTTCATTAACAGCTATGCCCTTGGAAGTGTCACTTAAGCTCTCCTACCTCATCTACAAAATGGGGATGAAAATGCCTTTTTAAAGATCTAATGGGATTAAGTCTCATAAAAATTTTAAAGGCTATGCAAAGTACCTAACTGCTCAATTCATTTTAGTTTCCCCTCCTTTTAAAACACCATTCAGATATTGTAGCCTGCCCAAGTTCAATCTTCTCCTTGCCAAGCAAGAGACTCCTTCCTGGTGTCTGTTAGAATTTAAGTTCTTCAGAAACTTTCCATTATCAGTAAACACATGTTTCTCTAAGAACTGATGAAACCAATGCCTCATTAATATTTATTGGCCTAAAATAAATGGCTTTTATGAATATATACAAACTGCTCGTAGGCACTTATTACAGATGGAGTGGATCTTAATTCAACTGAGTTGGCTTTATTTAGAATTAAATAATCAGAAGACTGGGGCCTTTCTGCACCGATGCCCCAGTGCCTCCAGGACCAGGTCAGAGCCCTGGTACATACTTGTAGGGGTAGGTGATTATGTCCCTTGAGATCTCACTAGTAAGTTTTTACTATCAAAGCAAAATGGAGGGATGAGTTTAACGATGGTTTTAATGTCATCACTAAATCTAGTTAGGTCCCAAAGCATTATAATGGAAAAACAGTTCTCAGTAACAGATTTCTAAGAGACAGATCTTTAAGTCAGCTGTGGTATTATCATTCCCGAGGCCCAGAAAGAACTGCTCTGAATCACCACAGAAGGGCTGCCCGTGTTCCTGATCGATATTTATGGAAACACATTAAACTGCACAAGTGGTGCACCAAACACAGGTGATTCATTCAGAGGAAATCTGCCAAAACAGACCTGAGAGGCAGAGCTAGGTTTAATTGCACATTCCCTGAAAACTGCAACACCTCTCTGGAATGTCCTCAGAAACGAAACAGCTTCCAAGAATGCAGAGCAACCTCATCTACCTCCCATTACTCTTGTCTTTCTTCAGGGAGTGTTTGGGAGAGAGCAGCAGACAGCAACACCTTTTTTTTGTCGGTAAAAAGCATTGCATGGAACACAACTGGACCTACTGGAACAGTGAGGCTGGCACCTAATGCTCTCTCTCTGCCTACGGCTGCCGCCTCCCAGAGCTGAGATACTGGCCAGCCCCTCCTGGCCTCAGCCCTCCAGCCCAGCCTCCTACTGATGCCAGCTCCAGTACCTGCCCTTCTCTGGTGGAGCGCCCGCGGTGCCCCAGGGCCTCCAGGACCAGGTCAGACCCCTGGTACATACCTGTAGATATGCCCTCCCGACCTAGCCCTCCCGTGTTGCCATCCAGGGCTGAGCTGCACGGAAGAGCCTATGCTGTCCAGTGTCCAACTGGCAATCCCCTATTTATCTTTTAACATCTACAGAGATCACTGACTCTGTGAAGTCTTTCCAGCTAGCTCACGTCCCTTTGGACTCTACCAGTTTCTGTGCAAATTCCACACCTTGAATGCACCCATTTAACAAATAATTATTAAGCACGTGACAGACGTCAGACACTGGGTACAAGGATACCAGAGGAGCAACACTGGCACAAGACCACATGGAACGTAATTGTTTCCTGGGCTCTCTTTAGGACCAGAGCCATATTCTGTTTACTTCTGTATTGTTAGTACTTAGCCCAGTGCCTGGCACAGAGTAAGTACCCAGTGAACATTTTTGCAAAATATTGATTGCAGAAGAAAAGGTTCCAACTAGCTACTTAATAGCATTTACAAGTAATTTAATAATGATAACAACAAGAAAAGCAGGCACTAACACTTACTGAGCGTTTATTATGTATCTGGCACTGTGCTGAGCCCATTACATGGGGTAGTTAATTCCCAGAAGATCTTATGAACAAGGTATTACGTAACCCTCATTATACAGAGAAGAAATCAAGGCCCAGAGAGCTCCAGCACCTAGAGAAGGGGTATCTACAGTGTCGTCCAGCAGAAAACTTCCTATGATGACGATGTTCTACACCTGTGCTGTCCAATACGTCACCACTATCCACCTGCGGCTGCTCAGTGTTTGAAATGTAGCTGGCACAACTGAGAAGCAGAATTCTGAATTTTGCTCAATTTTAATTAGTTTAAATAGTCACATGTGGCTAGTGGTTACTGTCTTCGACAACAGACTCAGCTGTCTCATTTGTAGAACGAGGAGATGTAGTAAATAATTCCATACATCCTTTCCTGGTCCCACAGTCTGTTCTTTGTACGTTTGGCCTCACTGCAAGGACGGAAGTACAGACAAGGAAATCCAGAGAACATGGAGACACAACCACTCCTCTGTGGATGGGCCCACGAAGTTACCAATGTGGATGCAGTCAACAAGCACTCCCTGAGACCCACGTCTACACCGAGAACAGTGCTAGCCCCTGCAGGAGCTATCAAAGACAAGCAGGAGCGCTCCGGGAGAGGAAGAACACGAGACTGGGGGAGGGGTGCGATCCTCCAGGGCAGAAAGGACATTTCTGTGCACAGTATAAACAGAAGCAAAGAAGGAGGGCCTGAACACATGAACACAGGATGGAGGAACTCTAAATCAGAGGGAAAATTTATGATGCAGTTTTTAGAAAGTCACTTTCAGTTACCTTTTGGGAATGCAGCTATTGCATTAAGAGAACATGTGTTAGTAATTCTGCAGAAGGAAATATCTAGAATCCATTTATGTAATTAGCAGCCATGACATGACTTGAAGCATGCATCATAGCTTATTAAAAGCTGGTGAAACTCCATGAATATACTAAAAACCACGAACGGTACACTTAAAATGGGTGAATGGTATGGTATATAAACTGTATCTCATGATATAGGAAGACCCCTCATAATCTTAGACTTGATGAAATGAAGGCTAAGGAGTGAAATTTAGGCTGGCCTACTTTGGAAATTGCCTATGGTCATTTCAATACCCATTTGTAATGTTCAGTTACTGAATACTCAGTAATTACTGAATCACATACAGAATTGCATTTACAAGTGGACTGCATTACAGGTTGCCTTGGCCCCGAGACCAAGAGCTGAAAAAGTAACATGCAGGAAACATACCTCTTCTAGGCTAAGTTGCAAATACTCCAAGATCCTATATGGATTTCTTCTGCATACTAATCTCTTTTTTGGTGCCAACTGAAAAGAAATAAAATACATACAGAACAAATGGAAGCACTACATATTACACAGAGCACATTGCATTTTAAAACAAACATTTTTCTTAAAAATTTCACAGATTCACATTTATTGGACTAATACGTTAAAAATATTTTTTTTATTATTATGTGGAAAAAGAAGTTTTAGGTTTCTACTATTAACATTTTGATTTACTTCCTTTCTATGTTCCCCATGAATTTTTCCCACAGTTATGATCCTTTCGTTAGTTGAATTTATGTACTTCTTTTCAGCCACCTGCACCTCACAAGTGTGGGCCTAGCTTCTTTATCAGGCTTCATAAACCCCATTCTAAAGGCTAGATAATATTTCTTCAAACAGGTGTTTCACATACTACTTAGCCATTAGACTTGCTCATTTTTAGGTATTACGGATAATTCTAGGGCAACTGTCTCTGACTGTGCATCCCTCAAGGGAATGGCTCTTGATCTTCCCACTGCTTCTCCTGTGCTGGCTGACCTCCATACCCAGGACTCCCCGCACCATAGCCACACTCAAGACTATGTGTAATTACCATAGCACTTCTTTTTCTCCCACCCAAGGGAAAGATTATTGTACCTGCTTTGATTTACACATTTTTTTAAAGTTATTCACAAACTTTGAGGTTTTAGTAGAAATAGCTCTCACAGCTCCTGAGCCACCAGGGCTGGGACCCAGTGCCTGCTGGCTCCTCCCCCGCAACGAGGGTCTCACCACCTCTCACATACACTGGGCACTTAATGTGGGCCTGCTACCAGTTCTGAGTAAGGGGCATCCTGGTTAGCCCACATCTGCCATGGGCCAGAAACAGATGGCTCTGGAGGAAGTGAGTTATTTTCTTCTTCAGTTGATCCTTGAACAACGCAGGGGTTAGAGGCGCTGATTTCCCGCCACAAAAAATCCGTGTATAACTTCTGATTCCCTCAAAACTTAACTACTAATAGCCTACTGTTAACTGGAAGCCAACAACATAAACAGCTGATCATCACATATTTTATATAAGTATTATATGCTACATTCTTACAATAAAGTAAGCTAGAGAAAAAAATATTAAGAAAATCATATGGCAGAGAAAACACATTTACAGTATTGTACTGTATTTATCAAAAAACCCCAAAACACCAATCTGTGTATAAGTGGATCTGTGCAGTCTGAACCCCTGTTGTTCAAGGGTTGGCTATACTTACTTCTTCACTTGGGGCACATTCCTTCTCGCTCACGTCATACACATCTTCCTCCACCAGCACGAACTCATCACCAGGCCCCTTCTCTCTAGCACAGAGGAGACCCGCTTGCTGGCTCCTGTCCCCAGGCTGAGTGTCAGGCAGGGGGAGGAGAACATCTTCTTTGCCACAAGAAACTTGGGGCAGGGGGTGGTGTTGCAGCCTGGGAACCTCCACCACAGGTTCATCCAAGCCGTTTGGAGCAAGCAGGTCAGGCCCAGGGCTCTCCTGCAGGCGGTCTGATGGCTTGCTGGGACCGTCGGTGTCAACTGACTTTCCCACGTCCCCATTCATCACAGAAAGTTCCTCTCTATCTGCGGTACCTTCCATTTTGGAAACCGTTTCAGAGTTCCGCTCATCATGCCATTGAACTTCTTTATTCCTTTTTATACCAGGATGCTCAAGTGGCTTTGTGTAATCCTGGAGGATTCTCTGCACTGTACTCTCCTCCTGCCCCTGTCTTTGCATGAGCTCTGCGGCCCACTCTACACTATGCCGATACCTGCAAGATGGAAATACTGTCAATAACACATTAACAGTTTATAGCAGTTTTTCTCAGTAGCGGGCTATAGGTAAATGTTTTCTTTATACTTTTCTGTGTTTTCTAACTGTTCTGCAATAAGCATGTGTTACTTTTGTTTTTATTATTAGAGCTTCATTTAATTTTCTTATTTTGAAAAATAACTTGACCCCAGTTTGACAAAGTATGAATATTTATGTAATTGAAAACTGGTGGGCCAAATGATTTAGGTAAATACAAAGAGAATATGGTCATCCTCTGTCAGGATTTCTACATTATTCTTAATTTTGGATATCACGACATTTTCAGAAAAATATCCCACTCATAGTAAAAGAGTCTTTGTTCAGTACTGGGATGCAAAATGAGAATTTCGATAGATATTTTTCACAGTACCTACTGAGGTCTCCACTGCGTATGGCAAGAAAGGATTACATGCCACACATATGGCCAAGCATCCTAGCAGAAAGGGCCCTTTTTCTCATAACAATTTTCGAAGTGCAGTTTGATGAGGAATATCTGCTTTGTTCCTCAAATGCAAAGGCAACCCCCGAACACTTCCCAAGTTACAAAAAGTTACAGGTAAGACAACAGGGTTCTGCGCAAGTGAGACCTCCAGCCTGATGACACTGCTGGGACACGTCCAGGTGGCATCAGGCTGCCATACGGGAAATCTCATTTCAGCGGGAGAGCTAAAGGCAATGCGAAACTCAAGCACTTCTGGCCTCTACCTACAGCTGTTAGCCTGGAAAGCACCTATGATGGCACTGTTTGTGGGAAGACAGAGGTAATTTTACTCTTCACCTTGAGTATTTTGCTTTGTGTGTGGATGGCTGAATATTTCATAGTTTATAAACTGTGACATCTCACACGCAACTGAACAAGGAAGCTGGCCTCTGCTGTATTTAAGATTTGTAGCTGCTTAATCCTGATTCCTCAGAAGAATCTCCAAGCTGTCCATACCCTGTTTATCTTACGTAGGGATGAGCATGCCTTCCTGTTTATTGGGAACTGTATCTTAGCTTTAAAGAGTAAAACCTAGCAAGGCTACTTGCACAACTAAGAGGCAGACACCATGATTGTATGCATGAACACATATTGCACGTTTCATGTTCAGCCTGACTCTGTCCCTTGTAACAATGTGACAAAACCAATTACTTCTTTGTGCTTGTTCCTCCACCCATAAGATAGGGTAATGGGACTACTATTGTAAGAAGGGGTTATGTATTACTTTTAATAGTCAGAATAAAAAACGTAGCTGCTCATACAATGGCAGGGTGTCTTCTCGCCTGTATGAAAAGTATGGCCACTGTTGCATACAGTTAAAAGAACTTCCGTTTGAGAGATCTAAAAAGAATCTTTGCTCTTCATACCACCTACAGCACTGGATCTACAAATCTCCTTTATTTGAACACAAATTTTTGTGTCAATATGTATCTTTCTGGGGAAGGGATCCCCAACTTTCATCACATTCCTTGACTCAAAATATGTGAGGGAACCACTGAATGAAAGGTTCAACTATTGCCCCTTTGAGCAGAACTGAGAGAAAGAGCACACACAGGCTACTGCTCTGCTCTCTGCCATAGGGTCAAGGGAGATATGAGTTCAAACTCTCATTCCATCATGTTCTTGTATTAGCTACACGACCCTTGTGAGGCTCAGCTCCTCATCTGTAAACCAGGAGTAACCATACTGACATGACGGAGTTGTTGCAAGGATTTAAGGAGACAAGACGTGGATAAGGCTCAGCACATAGTAAGTGTTCTATAAATATTTGTTACTCTGACTGTGGGCTTTTTAGGGTGAGAATTAACAAAATCATTTTGACTCATACATATTACATTACAAAATACAAATAACATTTTTAATGAATGGAAATGTACACCTTAATTAACTGCTCTTCGAGAGCAGGGGCAGCCCCGTGGGGACAGGCGCTGCACCAGATCTGGGTTCTGGAGTTGGCTCTTTCGTGATTCTAAGCTAAGCGACTTAGCATCCCTACACCTTTTTGCTCTTCTGCAAAAGGCCAGAATCACACCTGCATTCCTGCCTCATAATGACCTCAGATACTCATTTTATGGAAGCTCAAATGAGACAGTGGCTGCAAAAGCATGTGGAAGAAAGCCTCTGAGCAAGACTGGTGATGAAAACAGCCAGATACACAAATGACTAAGACATATGGCATATGAGTCACAGAGCAGGCGTCCTCTCATTGGCTGACAACGCCTTAAAAAGCCAAGTCCTGCCACGATTAACCCCAGACACTGCTGGAGAAGCAGCAGGAAGAGAAAAGTGGAAAGTAAAAGTCAGGAAACATAAGGGAGAGAGTGGCAGGGGAAAAAGGTGGCAGCTATGATTAGCAGCAGTAATGAGACTGGTGAAAAGCAGATCCGTTTCGGGGCCACCAGACTACAGAATGGTGGAGCATCTGAATACACCTCTGCTTCTTCTGTCTCTATGGCCTCGAAGACACTCTTCCACTGGCATGGTGAACATCCCTCTCCCTCACCTACTGATTAATGCCTACCTATCATTAGAAGTTCACAGCAAAACAGTTTTGAGGCAGTCTGCTTAGGTCCAGGTACTGCCCTTATGCAAATTATATAACCTCCTCTGGTTGCGTTTCCTCACCCACCTCTAGGGGTGATGGGAGGACTTTAGGAGATAGTCCACAAATGTGTTATCAGCACAGAACCTTGTACATGGAATATGCCCAAGAAACGCCAGCATGTGCAACCACGTTGTTGTTCTCACTATGTGTCAATTCCTTGGAGGCTCTGAAGCTGAACTGCCTCATCTGAGCTGATAAAATGAGATGGAAATGACTACGCCTACCGCAAAGGCTCCCTGAGATGAACTGAGATGGTTAGGTAAAGCATCCAGCTGGGAACTAGCACTTCAGGAGCAACCAGTACCCATGGGCTAGGACGGCGATCGCAGTAATAGCTCCCCGTAACATCTATCACAGAAGAGTGCAATTGCTTACTTCTCTTCCTCTCCCACCAGACCGTAAATCCCTCGAGAACAGGGGCGAAATCTCTTCCTCCTCTTGTATCTGCAGCACCTACCCAATGCCTGACACTCAAGCACCTGCAGTAAATGCTGGCTGAACAGAGGACTACAAATGAGGAGAGGGGACCAGCACCCCCCTCATGGCTGGCCCTCGAAGGACACAACCTACATACTTCAGTCCCTTAGGGCATCACCCAAGGGTCTGGACGCTTACCTCCAGAGAGGATTAGATGGAAGGTTCTCATCACCCAAGGACAACTACTGTTGGAAAACGGCCAGAGTGAATTCACTTGAGAAAGGGATCAGAGTTTCAGAGGGAATAGTAAAGAAACAATTATAATAAGCACGTAAGCTGGAAAATTAACCTAAAAATATAAAAATGAGCCCATTTCTTTTAATATTTAACAATTTAGATTATGACTGCAATTATTATGGCCAAATAACCAATCAATCATTGAGGGGGTGGGGGGCACATAATTTTCTGACAGAACTGTCAGATATGGTTAAGTCCTAACCCCTGGCATCTGTGAATGTGACCTTCTCTGGAAGCAGGGTCTTCGCAGATGTAACCAAGTTAAGATGAAGTCATACTTGACTGGTTTCCTTGTAGAAAGAAGAGGGAAATTTGGACAGAGACAGACATACACAATGGAGACCTCCATGTGATAATGGAGGAAGAGCCTGGAGAGATGCATCTATAAGCCAAGGAATGCCAAAGATTGCTGGCTACCACCAGAGGCTCCAACCAGGCATGGAAGATGGAAGGATCCTCCCCTAGAGCCTTCTGAGGGAGCAAAGCCCTGCTGACACCTTGATTTTGGACTTCTGGTCTCCAGAGCTATGTGACTAAATTTCTGCTCTTTTAAGTTATGGCAGTCCTAGGGAACTAATACAAAGATCAATAAAATGCTTGCAATGTTATTACTGTAAAGCTTACAAAGGGATAACTTCAGGCAGGTGACAATCTCGCCCATCCAGAACCTCACATCCTCAAACTAGCTTGACGCCATGTCATGCCCACTGCCAGCCCTATCAGGATGCAGTTCTGAGGGGCAGGCTTCTGCTCTGTTTCTGAGTCCTTAGTGTTGACTGCAGCTTTACCGCAGCTACTCCTCGGGTGGGGGCCCTGCCAGGTTCTCAGTAGGCCCCTCCCACAGACTAGAACCTACTCCCACACCCAGCCTGCAGGTATAGCCCTAGCAGCCCCTGAGATTACCCTGGTGTCACTGCCCCCAGCCACTCCTCTGGCTATGGCACTACCGAGCACATAACCGAATAGGAGCTGTCAGATTCTGCCAGTATGTGCTAGAAGCAAGATGAAAAACCATCGGGGGTTTCAATATTTTTAGAAGGCTTACAGAAGAGACGCAACTTGAGCTGCCTCTCAGGGACAATGAGGATTTCAGTGCATGAATGTTTAGTCCACAAAATCCCACCAAGGGACCACTAAGTGTAGGGGCTGCAGAGAGGAAGCAGGCATGGTCCCTGCTCTCCAGGAACTGACAGTCTAAATCCGGGTGTGTGTCACGGATGGCACATCGAGGGGCACCAAGGCAGACTGCGTGGGAACCGGAAGAACAACCCCAACCAACGGAGGGTGATGGTGATGAGAAAACCTCCAGGAGAGTGACATGTAATCTGGATCACGGAATGGGCAGCGACAGCCACGCAGTGTGCATGCTTGGGGCGGGGGGGGAGGGGTCAGGGGAAAAATCCTGGGAAATGGGAAGAGCGTAAAGAAAAGCCAGAGGAGGGGCACCTGGGTGGCTCAGTCGGTTAAGCAGCTGCCTTCGGCTCAGGTCATGATCCTGGAGTCCTGGGATCTAGCCCCACATCCAGCTCCCTGCTTGGCTGAGAGCCTGCTTCTCCCTCTCCCTCTGCCTACTTGTGCTCTCTATCTCTCTGTCAAATAAATAAATAAAAAATCTTTAAAAAAAAAAAAAAAAAGCCAGAGGAAGGAATTGTGAGTGTATGAGTGGATAAAGAAGAGTCTCCATGGAAGCCTTTTTCTCACCCTGCAAGTGTAGAGCGAGGAAAGAGGACAGGGGAGGAGGCCAGTTCTAGACCTAAGTGTAAGCATCTTAGCACTTAAAGACATACACATTAGAGGTTATTTGTTCATATTTTGGAAAGAATTCAAGTGGCAAAGGATTTGGCCTAGGATTATTTAAAAAAATTAACTTAGTGCATTTCAAATATGATTTGATCCACATTAAGTTCAGACATAATTTTCAAGGATACACCTACTACCAAAAAAAAAAAAAAAAAAGGCGTGACCTACCACATTGGAAAAGGTTATCTACAAACAGATCTGATTTAAGCCATAACTCTGGCCAAGGTCACCATTACTTACTTCTTTGACGTGATTATAGGCATTTGTGTCTTCATATCTGTAACAACAAAAAAGTTCTGTTCAGACAAATTTTCCTTAAGGGAAAAAACACACTGAAAATCCAGAAAAACAAAGAGAATTTCAAGAATCACAAAATCACACATCTGGAAGGCTAATCTTGCCCAACCAGCAATGGCATGCTTTCTCTGCCATCATTCCTGGAACCCACCCCCTGAACCCATTAGAAGGCAATGTTGCCTGTTCACGGTGCTCTTGCTGTGCCCAGATGTGACCCTGAAATCCTTCTCAACTCAACACTGCAGCTTGGCAGCAATGGCAGGCAAGAGGAAACCCCCCTGCAACCTCTGAACTTTCAGATGAGAGTATCGAGGCCCTAAAGTTATGCACTTGACCCCCGTTTTCCCATGCTCTATAAGGCATCTTCAGTCAAAGCGCCCCACGTGTACCCACAGAAAAGATTGTGGAATTTCATGGCAGTGTTGCTTCTGGGTGTGGACCTGGGAGTTCTGGGCTCTAGTTCTAGTTCTGGGCATCTGGCTGGTTGAGCCTTTCTACCTTCAATGTTATTTATTTATCACCTGATGGTGTGGGTTTTAGTCCTCATCCTCCTCCACTCTGCCTTTGGGCAAGTCGTTTCTCCTTACCCAAACTCAGCCTTCTCCCCAGCGCATTAAAGGCCTGGAATAGATGATCATCAGCTTTAAAAACCCTAGGAGTTCACAGACTCCTACCTCCTTAGGAATTTGTCAGTTTTCTCTGTGTCATGACCTCCCTCCTCTGGTAATTTAACAAAAATGAAAATTTAGCGAGTTTTACTGACAGCCATCCATGTGCCAAGCACTTGAGATACAGAAGTAATAAAATAAAATTCCCTCTTCTTGAGATACTCACAGTCTGGTTGGGGAGACAGACCAGAAATGACTGATTCTAACCCAAGCTGATACATGACCAAGTAAAGGAGTATAAAAGGAATGTTCACTTTGCCTGAAAGGCTTAGTAAAAAACACCAAGGAGGAGGAGTAACTGAGCTGGGCTCTGAAGAATGAGTAAGAGTTCACCAGGCAGACCAGGGGAAAACAGGCAGGGGAAGCCCTGTGAGGCTGAGAGAGAGTAAATGCGTGACAGGTTCATGGAACGGCAAGCAGCCCAAGGTGGCTCCAGTGCTGATGAGTAGAAGAGAGTGCAAAGAGAGGGTGGAAGATGAGGCTGAAGCCAGGACTTGAAGAACCTCCTAAAATGGACATTTGAGACTTACTTCTTCAGGGCAGTCCACAAGCTTAATTTCTGTTTCCTTGGCATAAATTCCTTTCCTTTAAATTTCTATTACTGTCTAAAATTTAGTTACTACACAGATCAGGAAAAGATTCTCAATTGTTAAGATCATTATACTATTTGAAAGCTTTTTATGTTTCTGGCCAAATATTGGTAACTGCTGAAGCTGGATGGTGAGGGTCATTATGCTATTTTTTTTTCCACTTTTTTCCCCTCTCTTTTTGAAACACTCATTATGAAAAAGTTTTGAGACATACAAAAGTAAAGGGAACAGTATAATAAATTCCCATGTTGCCATCCGTCAGCTTTAACAATTAACTCATGGCCAATCTTGCTCTTCTGTTCATTTCCCCGTCCCCAGATTATTTTGAAAAAGATCCTTCACATTCTATCACAGCATCTCTAAGTAGCTCATTATGTATTTCTATGAAGACTTAAAAAATGAAGAAAAAACTTGCATAAAAAAAGGGGGTCTGGCTGGCTCAGTTGGTAGAGCACGTGACTCTTGATCTTGGGGTTTGAGTTCAAGTCCCACACTGAGCATAGAGCTTACTTAAAAAAATTATAAAAATTAAACAAAAAAACCCCCCCAAATTGCAATACCATTATTACTTTAAAAATTAATATTAATTCCTTAGCCTCATGAAAATCTATGGATTGTCTCAATTTTTAAAAGTCAGACTCAAAATCCATATGAGGCCTATATACATTACAACTGACTGATACATCTGAAGTTGATTCTAATATATGTTACCCCATCATGATTTTCTTCCCTGTAATTCACTTACTGAAGCAATGGCTCTTCTGTCCTATACACCTCCCCCCCCGTCTGGCCTCAGAGGATCACGTCCCTATTGTGCTGTAAACATGGTGCTCATCAAAGGAGGTCACAAGCACCGTGCTGTCCTTGAACTGCTCATGGATGGTCCAAGAAGGGCCTGCACCAACCTTTAAGCAACTGTCTCACTCAGCACATTGCTTAGTTCAGCTCACCTTGTTTTCATAGCCAGATTTTCACGGAGAGGGAAGCCGCAGGTAAACAGCTAAATAGTATGGGATCTATTTCCATTCTGGTGCAAAGGACTTATCTTGTGACACTTCAGTGACACTTGTCACTTTGAGCAGCACTGGCTTAATACATTCTTTTACCCTGTTTCCTGTAAATTGGTGGAACTAGAGGCTTGATCACATTCAGGCTCAGTATTCTGGGCAGCCTACTTCATGGGTGGTGCTGTGTGTTTCTCTTACAAGACAAAAAATGTGTTGTCTTTTTGTATGTCATCAACACCACTGACGATCAGTGCTTTATTAGAGGATGCAAAATGGTGCTATTCTCATCCCATTATTCCTTGTTTATTAGCAGGAATCTTCCATAGAGAGAAATCCCTCACTACTCAGTGACCCTGAGAACCAATTCATGTTTACTAATTTCCAAAATGGTGAATCCTTCACAGGTGAAGGTACATATTGTACCAGCATAAATTAAAAGATTCAAGCATTTTTTGGGACATTATTACCAATGACTGGATTTTAAAACAAACTGTAGGATTGATCCTTTTTGCTTGGTTTTTTTAGCAAGAGAGAGAGGGAGAGAGAGAATCTTAAGCAGGCTCCATGCTCAGCGCAGAGCCTGATGTGGGGTTCAATCTCACGATCCTGAGATCATGACCTGAACAGAAATCAAGAGTCGGACGCTTAACCGACTGAGCCACCCAGGGGCCGCTATAGTATTATTCTCATTGATGCTCAAATGTTTCCCTCTTTGGTCTGGGGAGCCACTTTTGAAACAAGCCTAGCAGTTCTTGATAAGCTTCCTTGCTTCCTGGTATAGATGTTTCAGGTGAAAATCCTGGCTCTCAACCATACCAACATAATTAATCATTTGCTTTTTCACACAATATACATACAACAGTCAGTTGTACCAAGCTATCACCTATAAAATAATTGCTGAAAGCAATGTGAAGATTATTTCACCACTCTTCCTTTCTTTAGAGTATAGGGTAGGTTAATTGCACTGATGGCCCCAATTCTTCAGGTCTTCCACCTGCCAAACACCTTGACTCTAGACCGGTTGGAATAACAGCAAACGTGCTGTGAGCAGAGGCCCGAAAAGCACTGGCACACTGGGGTTTGCTCGTGACCCTCTGCCATAACCATGAGAACATGCCTGGGCTAGCCTGCCAAGGGATGACACACATGGTGCCCCCTGCCCCTCACCTCAGTTGAGACCATCCTAGACCAGCTGACAGCCAACCAACAGACAACCAGACACTAGTAAGTCCAGCTAGATCCGTTATTGGACTAAATCCATTAGAGCAGGTAGCTGATCTCCATAACTAACCAGATGGATGAACACATCCAGCCAAGATCAGCACACCTACCTAGCAAACCTGTAGACTTGTGAGCAATTTGGATGCTGCTGAAAGCCACTGGTTAAACAACACTGTGCCAAGAGATAACTGACACAAAGTCTATCCTATTAGGATTGAACCTCAAGTTACCACGTTTTACAGTCACTGAAAATAGTTTTCCTCAGTGGCTATACCACCAACTTGATACATAGCTTCAGCTTTTTTTTTTTTTTTTTTTTTTAAGATTTTATTTATTTATTTGACAGAGAGAGAAATAGCGAGAGCAGGAACACAAGCAGGGGGAATAGGAGAGGGAGAAGCAGGCTTCTTGCCGAGCAGGGAGCCCAACGTGGGACTCGATCCCAGGACCCCGGGATCATGACCTGAGCTGAAGGCAGACGCTTAACGACTGAGCCACCCAGGCGCCCCAGCTTTTTTTTTTTAATTACTTTTTAAAATTTAACTTTGTTTTGTAATCATGTAACACATTTACAAGGTTCCAAAGTCAAATCTATAAAGTCTCACCTCTTTCTCCATCCTGTTCCGTATCTCCCCCATAGGCATTAAAAAGAATCTTTGATTTATCCTTCCTTAAATTTCAAAAATCTATTTATATCCCCCCACCTTCAGATAAACCACAGCACACTATGCAGACCCCCTTTCTGTGCTTTCTTCGCTTAGGAATACATCCCAGTGATCTCTCATTCTTAGCTCAGCTCCATGGTACTTTATTATGTGAATGCAGTACAGTGTAGTTGACCAGTCCCCTCATACTGGACATTTGGGTTGTTTCCAGTCTTTAATATAAGAAACAGTGTTGCGATGAATAGCCTTGTGCGACTTCTTCTCATATTTTTGCTAGTGTATCTTTCAGATAAATTCCTAGAAACGGAATTGCTGGGTTAAAAGTAAATGCTTATACTGGTACAACTGGATATCCATGGGCAAAACACTGAAGCTTGACCCCTACTTTACATCACGTACGAAAATTAACTCGAAGTGGATCAGAGATCTAAATTTAAGAGCTGAAACTGTAAAACTCTTAGAAGAAAACACAGGGGAAAATCTGCATCAGTTTGGATTTGGCAAGGTTTCCTAAATATGACACCAAAACCATAGGTAATGAAAGAAAAAAACAGATAAACTGGACTTCATTAATATTAAAAACTTTTACCGCTTCACACTCACAGAGATGGCTATCATAAAAAACAAACAAACAAACAAATCCAAAACCAGAAAACAGCAAGTGGAAAAATTGGAAACTTTGTGCACTGCTGGTGGGAATGTAACAGGGGGCAGGTGTTGTGGAACATAGTTTGGCATTTCCTAAAAAAATTAAAACAGAATAGATATATCTATATCTATCTGTATCTATAAGATATCTAGGAGAAATGAAAATACATGTTCACACAGAGACTTGTATATGAACATTCACAGCAGCACTATTCATAACAGCCCCAAAGTGGGAACAACCCAAATGTCCATCTTTGGATGAATGGATAAACAAAATGGAATTATTATTCAGGATGAAGTTTTTTGTTTTTCCTTTTAAAGATTTTATTTATTTATTTGACAGAGAGAGAGACAGCGAGAGAGGGAACACAAGCAGGGGGAGTGGGAGAGGGAGAAGCAGGC